GTCGAATCGGGGTTATACTGAACATTGGGGGACAACTCTCTGCTCGCCGATATCGAGATTATTTGCAGGATGATGTTCATGACCTATTTGAGTTCAAGCTCAACTCCGGAGGATTCTTCCAAGCTCGATCGACCAGTGAGACCATTCCCGACCCGAGCTCCTCGACGTCTAGATCCCGATTGAAGCAACAAGTTCTGTTAGGCTTGTGGTCAACTTTTTTGTGGCTGGCCGAAGTATGGCGGAGAGCACGCTTCGCGTGCCATCCCAAGCGCTTATCTCGTGACTCGACGCCGAGGCCCCCTCTTCTAAGCCTCGATAAGGTCGCAGTTGAGGAGTTTTTAGAGCACCGAATAGCACGAGGATCTACGTGCAGACGAGACTTATTGCTTTTCTCGAACGTAATCGTGTCGGGAGTCCAGCGAACGAAAGCTGGGCCAAGTCAGTAGCTTGCTCAATCACAGGTCGGCAGTACGGCGAGACAGGTTCCGCTCAACTACCCGATCATGATGCGCCACGAAAAGGAACACGAACAGTCGAGTAGGAACGGGGGATGAATCCGAAGGGAGTCTATGGTGGATGACCTTTGACCTCGATCGGCGTGAGCACGAAGAACCTATTGTCGCAAATGTTCGGCAGAGGGGACTGTCGCTCCGAATGACTTGGGAGCGGCTCACGTACATTACGTCGAACGAGTAGTCCCATATATCAATGGAGCCACTTAAGGAGCCTCTGCGGTTTGTCTTCGTCTCAGAATTCCCGGGCGAAACTGGTCAGGAGTTTTTTCGACGGTGCCTACGTTGTGTACCGTCGACCTGGCAGTCGGCCACCGATCCCAGCCGTCGCAAAGCCCACCCGCATCATCCATCGTCAGACAACGTCGGAGTCGGTATTATATTTCCACTGTCGCCGCTTCTCCCTTGGTTGCATTTCCGACTCGGGAGGCGGGACTCGTCTGTTACATTGAATAGAATATTTCGAATGAGAGCCGGTCTGAGTTACGTTCTTTCGCCCCGACTCGCTGCTAAAATGGTTTCAGACAGGAAGTTCGTCTCAAAAAACTTTTAAATCCCGTCCTCCCCCCTTCGGCCCTCCCCAGCATGCAATCCAAGCTCGTTTGTTCTATTTCGTCACGTTCCGAGATGCTGGTGAAGCTGAGCTCGAAGACGACGTCAGCGAACGGCGAAGCCATGATTTCTAGGAATCAAGGAACAGAAAGCTTTTGAGTCGCGGCGGGAGCTCGGACATTTTGCTGGAGGTGCCTCACGAACGTCATTCTTCAAGTCATATCGAGTGCATGGGGAGAGCCCTCCGCAACGTGTCAGAGATCGAAACAAGATCAACTGACAGCGAGACTTTTCGTCCCACCCTCGCAGCAACTTATTTAGAGGGGCGTGGTCTGCAGCATGGGTGTGACATCTAGATCAACTTGGCTGCGTTTGGATAGATCGCGTCGAAAATCTCCCCCTGGGCGTGAAACCGTATTTTTTCTACCTGGCTCGATGGGATCCTATATACATACATAGGCGGTTCCGATGGTATCTCCGTATCCTTTAGTCCTCGTATCCTCTGCGTCTCCTTTTTTTATATTTCTCGCTCCATCTCTACCGTGGAGTTCCCCGGTTTGATGAAGTTAGCGTTCCAAGGCAGCCATACTCCATCAGTTGATCCACAGCGCCTGAATTTGATGCGAGACAGCTGTCATCCGAACGAGCCTGTGTCCCCAGGTCCTTCCTGCCCTCGGTCCGCTAAAAACGGCAATGGGAACAAAACGACTCCTGTCCGCAAGCGGGCGAAAATTTGTGTCGGTGTCGTCTCGGGCTCCTCGACAGAGCCTCATCCAATGATGTGCCTCCCTGAGCCTCGTCGTGGGGCTCGACACAATAGACTGGCGGAGGGCGCGAGCGTGGAAATTCTCGGCGGCGATCACGCAAGAAAAGTCGTGGGTTTTTAGTCGCTGGTCGATGAAAATCTAAAATTGTCGCGGGACTCCGCATCCGACGACCCAGAATAGTTCCTCTCGACCTTTTCCTCCATCTTCGTCGAGACTTCGGAACTAACGATGTCGGCGAGGGAATTTCATGAATATCGTAATCTCGTGGACATCGACGCGGCTGAGATTCGCTGAGGTAGTTGGCCTTTCCTCAGTGTTTCTTTGCCACCATAGTAAGATTGATCGATTTCTGGGAAGAGACTCATTATCCGAACTGTCCGCCGCGTGTTCATTCTTCTCGCCAGAACTTCCTGTCTCAGCGGATTCCTCTAGAATCAGAAATTTTGTTCCATCCTCTTCTCTGTTCGAAGAGTGCTCGCGGGAGCAATCATGATTCGCGACCGATTTCTCATAGATAGGGATGTTTCGAAACCTCCAGATTGATTGAGCGAGATCCTCGTTCCGCGAGGCTTACTGAGGGCTTACGGAGAACGTCGTTTCGTCCGGACCCGGACGTCGCGTCGCATCGCCGCTGTTCGATTCGTCAACGCAACTCAAGTCTGCTTTCGAAATTCAAGCCTGAACCTGAGATCACTGCGTTGGAATGGACCAGCGAGCTGAGGCTGTCGACTGCCGCGTCTCTTGACAAGAGCAGCCAGGGCGATGTGTCGGTGCGGGCTCAGGAGGAAAATGTTTGCGTCCGGCAGGAACTCGCGTACCGAATGAGCACGAGTACTCAGCATTTTGATGAGAGATTCAGCCCCGAGGGCGTGACACTGTCAGGCTTGTGACGAGGCTCGCCGGAATTCGCCAAATATTGACTTCCATGAGTCGGTAGAGTTCAGGCAGAGCGTGTGTGCGACGGGAAGCAGCTTATATCGAAAAAACCTAATCACCCACATTCATTTAATTCATGACACCCGGAAACTTCGTTAGACTACAGCCAAGAGCTCCCAGGAGCTTTTTCCGAGTTTTCAACCAGATACTGTGTGGCGCGAGAGGATATATCCCGTCTCTCCAACATCGAAGACTATTCCGGTATCTCCAACATCGAAGACTATTCCGGTATCGGTCCCGATGGCTCGACACATACGCGGTGCTCTTGATCGTCCCATCCAGAGTGGAGTTGTCGTCACCAGCCCTGTCAACTCGATTGATCGCGACAGGAGCTTTGAGCTCGGGAGGCAACAGAAAGGCGTGACATTGTCTCTGTGCGAAAAGCGAGGCTTCCGGCTCTAGCGTGACTCATCTCCTCGCTTCCCTTGGTGAACTTTCCAGTAGGGATCTTCTCGTGGAACGAGTGCAGAGGCTCAGGGAGACTCTGAAACGTTCTGTGATCCGGCAGTGAGATGTAAGCTCTTAGGACCCTATTTACGATGGGAGAATACAGCTCCGACGTCAAAATATTCGCTGGTCTTTATTCTCAAAGAGCTTCACGTAGGCCAGTGCCCCGAGAGGGGCTCCGTGGAACTACGTTACGCTATGAATTATTACTATGAGTGGTATCCTCGTCCACAACGCGGCGGGCATATAAACCCTGTGCGCTCCATAAAACTCTTGTGAAGACTGCTGATGGACGGTCGCAAGTCGCAAGCTATCAGGTCCCCGCGTCGAAATATATTTCCAAGGAACGAGGGGAGTGCCAGCACCCCGACTTCTCGGTATCGTCGCGGTTCCCATGAGCGGGACGGGACGTCGAGCGAGAATTTCGGGAAGCGGCATGTTGGAAAGCAGCGCATAGCTCTGCGCATCATTTCCTCTCTCTGAAGTACTTCCCGGAGTGGGATAACGTCGTGGCTGTCTCGTCGCTGTCTTTGTCAGGTAATTCCTTTTTTCCCGGAGGAGCTTCCCTAGACACTCAAAAACTCGGTTTCGATGAGCTCCCGACGAGAACAGTGCTGCGACGTGACGCCGGAGAACAAGCTGACTCGCGTGTCTCTTGAACAATGAGCAACGAGTGAATATACCGACACGGAAAACGACTATTCGATATTGTCGAGCGATGACGCGATCGACGCGACATCGGCCGTATCTTGGATCTGACAAAAAGATTCGAAGTGAGGCGGGCCAGTCGATCCCACAAGCGTTTCGCAGGTGCGGCTCGACGAGCTCGTCATGCTAGTCGAGAGTACTTGGCGCCGCGCCGTCGACGTAGAGCTCCTCCGTTCGTGTTTCTCCTCCACGAGTCTCGCTTCGAGAGCGACATGAGAGTGCATCGATACGGCTGAACACTTAGAGAGATGGTTGAGGGGGCTCTGAGGTCCCTGTTCAGTCGAAGGCACTCATCCACCTCACGTCGGTCGGTGTTCAGCATCCTGGTCGTCTAAATTTTTCAAGAAATGGGAGAAACTCTGTTCTGACCATGGAGATCTCCGAAAGATCCCCGGCGAAAGCCATCCGCCTTGCCCACGGATTTTTCGCGCTAGCTAGCGATCGCGAGCACCAAGCAAGATGCCACTATTGTCTTGACCGCTCCGCTAACGTTGCGTCGTCGCCGAGATGAATGAACTTATGTCATCGACGTTGACACCATGACCGATCGCTCCGGTTCCCGGAGGTCAGGTAACTGTTCCAGGCTCACGTGTGTCGCCCGTCTGGCCCCAGAGCACGATGGAGCATCTGAATCGCTGCGAGACGTTCCGAGTGCTTGTTCGCCCTTTTGCGAAACTTCGCCGTGATTGAATGATCGGGTCGTATATTCCAAGTATGCACCGCCATAGAGGATAATCGTGGTTTCTTATCCGATCCCGCTGTACGTAAACGGAGAAGAATCCACGAATTCGCAGTGTCGTGGCGAGCCACGGCGGTTGCGGTGGCGGATGCAAACACAAGTGCGCTGGATAAAGTTCTTGAATCACCCCATTGAACGAGCGACAAAGCGAAGTATCGGCCAAGCCAGCGACAGACCGACCGACCGATGGACCAATAAGGCTTTCAATCCATGTCGATGAGTCTCCCGAGTGACGTCATTTAATCCAAGTGCCTGTGTTCGAGAACGTTACGTCGCTCTGAATCACGATGCTAGCAGGAGCAATTTCGGAGAGCGGTTTTATCGCCGCTCACCGCCACCGATTCCCGCCGATTCCCGGGCGAGGCAACTCGATGTTTGATAGCACGACTATAAAGCGACTACCACGAGTTGTTGAGTGCGATACCATCGACTAAGATTCCACGGTACATCGGTGCAAACACCAAAAACCGCTGTTTTGCGAGGAGTCCCGGAGTGGAGGACGGTATCTCAGCATTCCTCGACTAATTGAGTTTGTGTGAGGAACTGTTGCTCCCCAAGCGAGAGAGAACTCCGGAATGGGCTGGATAAAGGAGGTAGAGTTGTGACTTTCTTTCATCGCTTCAATTTTTCCACCAGCTCCGAAGTGGACTTTCTGACGCCGCATAAACTCAGCAGGCTCGGTTTCCCTTCAGAGTCTTCTTTCGAGAGCTAGACACTTTACATTCGGAGGGTCTGAGTCGCGAGCGTATGGCCTCCGGGGTACTGGAATTTTCCCTGATCGATGGGATCTCTCCCGATCGCTCGCTCTCATTTTCTTCACGTTGAGTGCGACCGACCGACTTCCTTTTTCGAATCCCTCGGTGAGCGGATCCCCCAGCTGCCCTCGAATCTACTCTCTGGGTCGTTCCCCCCCCCCAAGCCCTTTCCCCTGTTCTCATTCTCCGAAAGCCCCCGTCCCTACACGCCAAGTCTGAGCTGTGGTGTTTTTCTTATTTTCTAGCCGATTGTTCTGTCCCCTCTCGGCCTTGTGGCTTTCGTCCTGGAATCCCTTATTTTCGAGCTCTCTCCGACGCCCCTCCATCTCCGCTTTGATTGAATGCGGCTGTGGTCTCTGTCTGCGAACGTTCCAGCTTCTCGGCCGGACGCGCTTCCTCTGGTGGGTATTGCGAAATGATTTCCAAGACGGACGCTACCCGGTCTCTTTCGTGCTTAGCGTTCATTGTCAGCCGTCTTTTCGGCAATGCTCGGCGGACCCATATCGATCGATCGCTCGGTCGTGGCCTAGATATCTTTCCCTTTGGACTTGAATGATATCCAGGGCTCTCGCAACAGTTTGAGGCGATAAGGCAGAGTATCGAGAGAGAAGCAACTCTCGCGTTCAGTCGACCGGGTCAGAGCAGTCCCTGAGCCACATGGGACAAAACAGACAGGAATATGCACGTCATGAGATATTGCTCCACGGAGAAGAAAGTCAGGTTAGGCGACTCCACTGAAACTTTGAGCGCGAGGCAATTCACCATGGAGGTGAAAGTTTGTGCCGACTGAGACTTCGTACGAAAAACATCCGAGGAGCCATGACTCATGATTTATTCCGCCTGTGGCTTCGACAATCGTCCTCCCAAGGAGAAATACTTGAACCATGTGTCCGAGCATTTCGGCTCTCTCCTTCGACCGGGAATACTCCCTCGGTCGCCTGCTTTGCATATAGATAAGCCCGATACACCGCCGACGTCGCCGCAGAGAATCTCTGATCCGTATGTATGGACCGACGACGAGAGTGAAAGATGGAGAGAATGCCTCTCAGAGATGATAAGAATAAGTACTCAAGATGGCAGCGATGAGTCGAATCGTTCGCTCAGGTCTGTGTGGGAACCAGTCGCTGGAGATTAAGACATGTTGAAGGGTTCTGAGGGTTCGTGGCGAATTTTCGCGGAACTTTCCTATGTTTTCCTCTCCCGAGCGGGGCAAGATTGTCCAATGTTGGATTTGGCGCGAATATGGAATTCGTTTCGTGCAAACATCCGCTTCCAGAAGCTCAAAATCTCTCCAAGATCAGCAGGCGGCTGCCGCTAATGCGAAATGTCAACTATGGCGTTCTCTTTTTCGCTGCATATCAAATATTTCACAACGTCAGGCGTACACTTTAGAACTCCCAAGCTCCCTGCTCCCCGACTTCCTTCGTCGGCCATAGTCTCATACTCAATATCCTCCGTCTCCACGCCTGTCTCTGAGAAGGTCGTTGAGGATATAGTTTCAATAACCAATGGAAAGTCTGTACGCCGAACAGAGAGAAAACTTCATTAGCTCAAACGTCTCGCGTGTCGATGCAGAAACAGAGCGGCCGCTCTTTCGTCGCATAATCTCGTCGGATTAGATCGCAGCACCTGTGAGATTTCGCTTTAGAAGATGGGCCTAAGCAGCTGACTTATTCGGTTCGAGGGTACGCAGGACAGCAGGATGGATATTCTGTTCAATCTAAAATCTAGTTCCCGCATGTGCATCACTGCTGCACTCGGAAAAGAGAGAAATTCTGAGCGTGTTTGTTATGCGGAGCGGCTCGTCGACCTGCCCCTCGTAAGGGGATCGGAATGCCCACGACAGGTTCTGCAATGCGAATGTCCAGAGAAGCTCGAAGTTGTCGATGGCATCAGACCCGATTATGCTTCGATCCTCCACAGTGACAAGGCCAGTATCAGGGCTCAGACCGCCGCGCCGTAGAGAACGGAGGAAAGGAGCTAATGCAATGCGTCGCAGGTGGCGAGGCTGCCAGTAATCTGGTCGGGGCTTGCTTTGTCCGAGCACTTAGGTACCGTCGGAGACGACCGTTATGACTGAGTGAACGTGCGAGCACGCAGGCTGTTCGCACACCGAGCTGGGAGGAGCTTATAAAAACCGGCCCTGGACGCTAAAACAACGGCCGAGCTTTGATGATCTTTCCGGGCGACACATGGCTTATTATTTGAGGGTTATAGAACTCTCTCCATGTTCCGTATTGCCCCGCCTGACAGCATGTTCGGGCTCGCGAATTCTCCCCGGCGGAGAAACGGGAGATCTTATGACGAATCGTCCTATGAGAAATGTCGTCGAATATTGGAGACCATAAGACGACCATAATCTCCGGAGCTCTCATGGGAATCCTGCACTTCGCGGTCCAGAGGTCTGGGGGTCTTCATCATAAAGTTCTCGGCGACCGCAGATTGTGAGTCTTCATGCGTGGATCGATTACTCGCATGTTACCAGAAGTCAAATAGAGTAATCAAATGCGAGCCATGTGGCCTATGGTCACTCGTGTCCGGACTGGTAGACGGATGTAAACATCATTACGGTGCGAACATAGCCGAAAGGAAATAAGACTCGGCAGGGCTCCTCAGACGAAAGCAGCCCGAGCCGCGTTCACGGCGATGCGGGACGCTGTTTCCGGGTTTCCGGTGAGCCATCCCTCGGCGAGCCTAGCTCCGCGTGGACCAGAATACCGCGTGATAAAGTGGATCCTCTTGTCGTCTCGAAGCCACCATGGTGGCGCGCATTCACGCGGGACCGATGTATGGCCATCTATACAAACATTTGTATACATACGCAGCAAGACGTTCTCATTTCTTTCTTCCGTCGTCTGGAGCGGTCGCGATATCCTCGTCTGCTCGACCGAGACACGTCAAGATGAGAGAGGAAACAGACGCGGCCTCAGCGATGAAAGCCGACAGACTCCGGAAATATAAGGCCGGAGAGGGTCTCGATGCTCATCGTGGATCACAGAGCCCTCAGGGACTTGTTACTCTCAATGATTCTCGAGAAATGTGCTTTTTCCGTAAAAGAAGTATCTTTTGGAAGAACGATTTTGGAATTCCCCACTCAGACAAGCGAATTATTGGTCGCATCTAGATGGACTCATTGATTGGAAATTTTAGAGGAAACACGCTGAATTCCTCCCATTATTTACATACATAGAGAAAGCTTGGGGATAACTAGCCTGAGACCTAGCCTTTTAGCGAAAGAGTTTCGACCGAACTCGCTGCCTCGCGGCCCTAACTCAATTACCCGACAGCGGGAAGTGAGATGGCGGCGGCGGCGACGACGACGCGACGGCGGCTCTGGAAACGAGTGCGGCCGGAGAGCTCGGAGAACAACTAATGATAATGAATGATGACTAAGTATATGCTTCGTTTGGGAAAAAATCAATCAACTAATTCGATTGCTTGTTTCAGTGTGTGTTGCACATGGCATCCGCCTCTACGTCGGCGGCTCCTGAACACGTAGGGATGAATGAGGACACTGTGGAGGGCTTCCTGAATTCGGGCAGGACAGGGCGACGGAATGCCCTCCCAGATATCCTCGACGAGCAATACGCTGCTACGGGAACAGGAGACCTTCCGATGGACATGGAAAGGCTGTCATGTACAGGTGAGTGCCAGGAGGAGTCGGCGTCATTATCTAATCAATCAGAGGCGAAGCTTGATCGAGCTCGTCCCATTCCGCGGTGCGCTGTCGAGAGTTCCCGGAAATCCTTTTGATCGGGAATCATAATCTGTCGAGATTCGTGTTCGTCGACGAAAACGCTCCAGAAATAGACCGGTCCGGGGAGCTCTATCAGCGAGCCAGAACGGAAGAGGGCAGTTGGAGGATGTCATTGAGAGACGATTGGGCTCCGGATCCCGAGTTCCGGAAACGGAGGGCGGACGCTCAGAGTGGACCGATGGCTCGTCGAGTGCCATCCGAGCCGGGTCGTGTTCACAAGTATCTTGACACTCGAATTTTTCGATCCTTACCCGCGAAGTAGAGGGATTCAACGCTCCTCCCCATCACCTTATATTTTAGAAGGGGTCCACGAAGGCTTCACCCAGTATCGTAGGGCTCCGACGAGGAATGTCTCGAGTGGAGATCGTCTTGCGCCATGACCAGATTGATCTATCGATTGTTCGGATTGGGATCTACAGAGGGCTCGATAGCAACCCCGGCCATAAATCCTGCATTCTTGAAAGGATAGGGAATTTCGAATTTTGTTTCGGGGGGAGTTGTTCGAAGGCGTACGCTCCGCAATCGCTTACAAGCTTTGGGAGCCGGCTCCTCTGGGCTCATCGGAGTCGGCAGTGTCGGCGGTGTCGATTTCGGTTGCGAACATTTTTGATCTGAAGTGTTTCGTTGAGAGTCGGCCCGTCCTGGATGCGACAGAATTAAGATGAATCGGACAAATAGGTACCTACTCCCTCGAGTCGCTTATCGTGACATCTGCAACTCTCAGTGAGCCATGGCATCGTAGAACGACCAGGAACACGAAAACAGGTTCTTGGTGAGCTGCTCACGCGAGAACATCCCTCTGCGAGAAAATACGAGAAAAAAATCGTTCGGATGACACCGCAATACAGGGAGGATGTAAACAAGTCTGCGCCGGATTTGAAATCAGGGAATCCCGGGGTTTATTCCACGCGGCGGGAATCTGAATATTTCCACGTGACGAGATTTGGATGGGTCATTCCTGGATGGGAGGAAGAAATATCCGAATAGCGTCGTGCGGAAGGACGGGATGTATATTATCCCATCCGAGAGGGAATACTTCGCTGAATACTCCGCTCTCGACCTCGCGATGACCTCTGGGCATCTCTCACAGGCCATTCTCGTCGGCCTCGCGACTCCCCATCCCGTTCGCTGTGTCAATATCACCCGATGCGATCTTGGGGTCCTCCTCGAAATAGGATAACCGACCGAAGCGCCCCACTGAGTTAGATCTTACGCATGAAGTATGGGTTTTGTCCGTCCGAGCATGTCACCGAAACCAAGAAATCGTCCGAGTCCACTCCCCTGTAGCACCGGAGCTGTAACTCTGGATCTCCTGCGCGGAATTTCACCTCAGCGCTCCACCCGTTAAATTCAAGCGGAGGCAAACGTTTATATTGATAGTGTCCTCGGCTGATAAAAGCGCTTTGGACATGCAATGTGAGCTTTTGACTCGGAGCTCTTGGTAATTTGATCAGAAAGACAGCCGTCCTTTGTGCAGTTCCTGTTGGCTGAAAATAACACGAGTTCCCAAGCCGGTGACCTATGTAGGTAAACAGGCCGGGGACACTCTGGGAATCTTTCTGTGGAGAGCTCTTGACACTATCTGGTGGAGGAGAGGAAAGCTAGTCAAGGGGAAGATCTCCGAAGGCTTCTGTCGAGTTTATGATATCGATGCAAATACCTCGTGATCTCGGACTGAGAGCCCTCGTATATTCCTTTTGCTCTGCCTATCTATTTGCTCCAGCTCGGAACTCTGAGTTCTTCTCCGTGATCTCGCTTCTCGTTGGCTTGTGCGATGGGTGCTTGCCTGATTTCAATCTGCCATCTCGTTCCCTAGTTTTCGGAAGTTCGGGAGCGAGGCCAAGAACGCTATTCATGAGCCACGAAATGCAGTTCCCGAATCGGATTGATCCGCCAATCGAGAGCTCGAGATTGATTAGAGGTGTTTCTCTTACAGATCAAGCCGGTACGAGTTCGAGCACAGACAAGAACCAACCATCGACCTCAACGGCGGCTAATTAGGCTGCAACTCAGGCAGAATCTCCCGGAGGCAGATTTCAACTCACAGACTGCAGATCATAGCTCATATTAATTTGTTTACCCGCGCATAGATCCCATCAAAAGCAGCAAGGACAATTACCCATGTCGTACTGGAATGAGGGACGTGGAGAGTACTAATCTCGACGGCTCTGTCGTGGGCCGGTCGAGGCGAGGCTTTATAAATAAACTGTACAGTTCTCTAATATATAATGAGGAAACCCGCTAAACCACTGCCTCATCCTTCGCCCGTCCGGGGTAATGGGAGTGATACATCCTGGAGAGGACAAAGATCGCCTCATCCTAATGGATTTTCGTCATTGGGGAAAAGAATCTTTATTGGGTGATTCTCCGACTGAGCCGACAGGTCAATGATATTCAGCCTGCTCGGATTTAGACATCAATATTTTTCTATCAATACAACACGAGGCTCTTCAAAAGACGTCAAGGGGTAGGTCATGAGTTGACGGAGCAAATGTCTTGAACCCCATCGCTCGCTAAGAAGAGCAATAACAGTAGCCAAGGACCCTAAGGTCTCACGTGAGCAATCCGAGGAGGCTCTCTGTGGCTTACTGTTTATATGGCAAAGATTATCTAAGATGTGAAACGATGAGCGGTTTCATGAGATTATTCCGCGAATTTGTTCAAATAGAAACAGATCGAGAGAATGAGGCTTCGGAAGCTTCTGAAAGGCTCTATCTATTTACAGAGGCAGACGCTGGCTCAACACTCACACTGAATTCCACATTCTCGACGGAGTTTAGACCTCGTCAGAGATGACTGAATAATTTAAGGATCGGAGAAAGAGGGGGAGAGTGGAATTATTATCGCCCTTGGTAAGCTTCAGGCGTCAGTTCGCGGAGGCAAAGCAAAGTTCGCTTCCGAGGCAGCGCCGATTGGTCCTCCCAAACACTAGATTGGCATGCCTAGGACGAGACACGTCGCAAGAGAAAGAGAGCATTGGCCAAAATAGTGGCGCATCCGAGATATATTCTCTCTCTTCTCCGATCTTGCCTGAATCAAGAAAACTCGTGAAGAAAATGTTTCGAGATTCTGAATTTCTCTCAATAGGGAAGGGCTTGCAGCTTTCATCTCAAGACAGACCAGGACTTCGTCGATCATGGCGGGCAAAACATCCTAGTTTCTCTTCGAAGGAGCTGCAAAACACGGGCGCCGGTTAGAAGACTGATCGTGGAATTTCGGCGTCCCGATGATCCAATCATCGTCGCTCGAATGCGAATGGCTCGGCGTGTTCAAAGAGAGCCGTTTCTGCAATATTTTTTTTCGCAGAAACGGAGTTTGAACATAATCGGAGTGTGGGCCAGCGTCTTCGATTCAAAGAACAATGTGTACATCATCATCATCATCACCAGAAGTCGAGGCGGGAATTTTAAATAAATTTGCTTCGTATGAACTTCCTAGGCGGATTTTTGCTTGGGCTCTTGCTGTTGAATCGGCTGGGTTCCGATGTTATAAGTCAGCAGGCTGGGGTCAAAATACGGAAGCTGTCTGGGTCCCTGGGCAACCGGTGCAGCCGAGGCCAGTCCGTTGGAGTCCTTACCGGAAGCTGGGATTTTCTCGTACAATTCTGGGTAGTAGAGACCAGCTTTGGTCAATTCGGGGTCGTACTGACCGTCTTCGTACTTCTTCTTAGGAGTGGCTTCATTCGTCGGGGCGAAAGAAGTCGCGGGAGCGGGACGGGGCGCGGGACGGGGCTGCCGAGAGAAAACGGATTCCATGAAGCTTCTGACAAACATACAAAGAGGAGAGGCAGGTTTCCTGTGTACAAACACGAGCCGGACCCTCATCCTACATCCAGGGAGCATCAGTTGATTGACCTCACAATGGGGATTCAACCGAAAACCATCGGAATGACGCCGATTCACGACGAGAGAATGGGGAATGTGGAATATCCGCTCAACTAGATACAATCCCGATTTCCCTCGCTGTGATTGCCCGAACTCGATCAACGCGCGACCCTTCGCTCGGAGCCGTCCCTACCTGGTACTGAGGTTGCTGTTGTGGCTGCTGGTAGTACGGAGCTGCTTGTCTGTATTGCTGAGGGGCGTAATTCTGAACTGGAGCGACGGGGGCAGCGCTCACCGGAGCTCTGTAGTCAAATGAAATTCCGTTTGTAAGTTTTTGGAGTTCCTTTCGTTTAAGCATTGGAAGAACGTTTTTAATCCTGGACAAGTTGCTCATTTCGGTGACGCGCTCATTAAACTCGCCAGACTCTCGGTGGCTTTCTGATGCACCGGAGGACTGATGTGCCCAGTGATCGCTCGCCAGAGAACGTGAAAGCGAAGGATCTCGGGTCACGTCTGCAGCTCGATGGGAGGCCTCCCACAGGTGAAGAGGGGAGAAAACAAATGCAGCAAAGAAAGGCATAGCACTATCAATCGATCACCGAAGTCTGCTCGCAGGAGTAGCTTGAGACATCGAGTCAGAGAAGCCGCTGCTCCTTCTTTCATAGACATTTCATGTGAATGAATTGGGGCAGGAATCATGAGCAGGCACGCCATTTCGACCGGACATCCGGGAGAGCCCTCGAACCATATAGAGCGAGCACTAGTGCTGAAATGTATTTCTTCCCCCGAGGGGGGAACGAGCTTCCCGATCCCGCGCCTTAATGGTCTCCTTCCTGATAAGCCACATGCACTCGAATAGATTCGAGATACACTGCAAGAAGAAATGAGGAAATTACCTGTAATTCTGAGGAGCGGCTTGATAGGACTGTTGAGGGGTCTGAGAAGACTGACGGAAGAAATCAGGGAAAGCGGGCTGAACGCGTTGAGCGGATGCCGAAGCGTAGAGTCCTCCCGTTGAGGGCTGACGGTAGCCTATGGGGAGATTTTTTTTCGTCATTCGGGATCAAGTGAGCCATTTTTAGGGTATGGGCTCCTTCATTGATTTTTGCTGCGACTCGGTGCCATATACATTATTCAGCTCTGAAGCTCCGTGGACTTCCGAGTTACCTCCGGATAGGCTGGCGGGATAAGCGTTCGAGGCATACGGTTGAGGGGCCTGGTATTGGTTGTAGGCAGGCGCAGATGGTCTGAAATAATTCTCACTTGGAATATTCAGAGCCCATCGATTTCCCTTTCGGAAGCTGCGTATCTCCGGAACGGTGATGGGATTGTTAAAACACTATACCGGTACTGAATGGTTTGCGGTCCGTACTGGGGCGCAGCAGGTGTCTGGTAAGCGGGTGCCTGCGGTCGGTATTGTGGGGCCTGCAAGGAACGATTTTGAATATCTCTAATATCCGTAAGATTCGGGAATCATATTTGTGTTCTCTTATAGAGGGCCCGATAATCGAGCGAGTTACGTCCGAGGAGTAACGTCCTCTTCACCGAGAGCTCGCTCGTAGTCGATGTACCCTCAGGATCGTCTTTATTGAATTTCTAGGGTTCCTATTACTTGATCCTCATGCTCATCAAATTCCCCATCCTTAAATATTACATCGCAGTCTCGGCTTCGACTTAAGGTTGAGTCTCCTCAAACTGAAAATAAGGATTAATTCGGGACGGACACAGAGCGAGGACGGGGTTTAGACGTGTTAGCAGCGTACCTGGTATTGGGGAGCAGGTTGTTGGTATTGAGGCTGGTATTGAGGTTGGGGTTGTTGGTATTGGGGTTGAGGTTGGGGGGCACGGTAAGCGGGTTGCTATTCAAAGCATTACAGGGTTAATTATGTACCTCGAGCTCGAATCGGAATCGGACTTCAGAACAGAACAAGGAACACTCGAAAACGCTCGGGACACCAGATGGTGCGACTCAGAGAAGGGATTTAAAGAGCAGAGGAGTTTGTGTCGGTTATCGCGAAGCCGTTAGTTCTGAGGAGGTTACGGAGTGCCAATCACGGGTTATACACAGACATGCTGAGCTTTCAGTTCGAGAGTATGAAGCGCAATGTTCATCAACGAAGATGGAGGATATCATGATAGGAAAACGGGAAGAAGCCAGTGCTTTTCTGGCTGCTTCCGTCTCAGGCAGGAATAGTCGTGCAGGAAAAAGGAATCGAAGTGACGGGTGGTGCGTCAGGCAGCGGATCGGAAAAATGATTTACTTGATACTGAGGAGCAGGTGCCTGATACTGGGGCTGGGGAGCGGGAGCCTGATATTGGGGCTGGGGAGCGGGAGCCTGATATTGGGGCTGGGGAGCCGGTTGTTGGTACTGTGGGGCGGCTTGCTGTGAGCATCAGGAGAATTATTAGGTTGAGGTAGACTTTGTCTCATCAGAGTGTCGCTCGCAGACAGCCGTAGCTCTTGCAGGAACACTGAGCGATAAAGGTCAGATCGTCTCGTAGTTCGTACTCACCTGAGGAGCCGCAGCAGCGGCAGGTCCGTTGAGGCCGGGGGTGTTGGCAGGCGCTCCGTCCTGAAAATGAGTTCTCTCTAAGTTCCTCAACGGCAGATGAGCTTCTAACTCGTGTTTCAAGCTTGATGCCCATGTCATATTCGATCTCAAGTCAAGGTTTGCGATGTCTAGAACTTTTCTTATCGATCTTGGTTCTGACGACGCAGAGAAGATCACTCGGTACCGCCCCTTGGCTTGCATCAGAAGCTTCTGAGAGCTTTCGAGACCCACCTGGAAAATATCTCCCTCGGCCTTGAATCCGTCCTTTCCGGCGGTGTAGCGGATGATCCTCATTTTACCTGCGAAAGTATTCGAATCAGAGAAGCCAGAACCGGAGCCTCACGATGGAAACCACCCTTCCCGATCGCATCTTGAAGCAAATAGGAGAGTGAAATATATTACTTGAGAAAAGACCGAGATTTCCAAATCGGTGTAGAAACTAAGGAACTCTAAAATTTCCGTCTGACATTTGAGGAGATGACACGATCCGCTCTTGTGGATCCGAACTGAGCTTGTTGGGAAGAGAAGTTGCTACGAGTTAAAAAGCCTAATGACGAACCGGTAGCATCGATGAATCCGTAAGCTCCCTTGACGGTACCGTCGGGGAGTCTGGTTTCTTCTCGGAAAGATTGCCCATTCTCGTTTCCCTTGCCTGGAAACAAAAATACTCCTGGGAAAACAGCCGATTCAGAGCCGATACCCGACCAAAAAGTTCATGCAATTGCTCTGCCATTGTATCGTGTCAGGAGCAAGGCGGCGTACTGCGAGTACCTACTGCAACTGATGAGAAGGAGTTCTTCGATCGGCAAAACCCCAAGCAGTCGCATTCGACGGAATTTTCTCCGTGCCTTTTCATATATCATCCCCGCGGCTTGTTGCATACCCCCAAGAACGGTCCCTTGATCGACATCCGCACCAATGACTTCGGCATTTATACGATATACGGAACTCTTGCATCTATATTCAAGAACGGCTCGTTTTAATCGACACGAATAAACCTTGGAAATTTTGAATGGGCTCCAAAAGTCATAAGCGGCCTACATAGCCTCAGTTAGGGAAACGCCAGAAAATATTCGGATTGCGCCTGTTCCGAGAATTCTGCAGCTGCTCTCGTCGCTTGTGTTATCTCAGTCAGGAATGATTTGTCATTTGAATGTTACTATCGAGTTTTCCCATTACATCCATCTTTTGTCTGAGTGAGATTCTGAAGGATTCCATTGAATAGCTATTCACCCCGCTCACCGGCAGAGCTATTACAAGGGACGCTGAATGAGTTCAAGATGTTGTGAGGTTCTGAAAGAATGAAACGAGAAGTCCGAGTCGTGCGCCAACAATGGCTGCACCTGAGAGTTGCCTTTGTTTCTATCGTGGCGCGATGAGTTAGGACAGCGGTCTGTCCGTTGGTCAATCGAGAATTTAATCCTCTAGCCGCATCGATGAATCCATCATTTTTTGAAGTGACTACTTTTAGCGCTACATTCCATCAAGGCGGGAACTCTCTTTCTAGATCTGAAGGTTTGGGGTCGTCAAAGTCTTGGGGTCTTCGGTGAGCCGAATATCGCGATTAGAGTCTTCTGAATGCTTCCAGGCTCCCACGGCGCCGGCCCATCGGCGCGGGCGTAAGAAGGGCGAGCCGCCGCTCTTAATTTCGCTTGATTGAGTTCTCGTTGTTTTTTCCCGGTCTGTTGTGAGCTGCTCCCACCACGGTTCTCCCGATGGTTCGCATAGGATGAGAATCAAAAAATCTTTGATCTCGATCATCCAAGGGATCGAGTAAGAGACAAGTTGCTGTGTATCGTCCTCTAAGGCTTGGAAACTGCGGGCGCCACCTGCCCTGTTCTAGTCTAAGTACAATCAGCCATTCCAATAAGCGCGTCGTACTTAGTTTCGAGCAAGTTTCATTAAGTTGTGGAGTAATCAGAGCGGGCCGGCGAACAAGTGATCGACCGTTATATGTCGAAGAGCTTCCCGATCATCCACCACCAAGCAGCAGAGTTAAGCGAGCTCAATAAGCCTGCATAGGGAGATAAACAGCGCCTGATCTCAAACAAGAGCGTTTGCAAAGTTCTCCTTCATTTCCATTTCTCCGAAGGGTCGAGAAACTCAAAGAAATCATCCCGAGCGACTCCGAACCATGTCGAGGAAACCCGCATTGATTCCACGTTAATACTCATTACTCTTGGACGGAAAACGAGTTTCCTTCGTTGAAGTTCCGATTCGCTTCGTCACACCGCCAATACCGTCGGTGTTAATGAATTTCTTACATTGACACGGGTTTCTTTGTTCAGAGTTTCCAAAGGATTTGAATTTTTTTCCATTCTTCCATTGTCAGTAGCTCGCCGTTGGTGTATCGTCGGATGTCACAACGAGCTCAATTGTTGAAAGAAGAGCGAAACGCGCGGCAAAATGAGGAGCTTGAAGAGGAGAAGGGAAGCGATGATGATGGGCTTTTAACGGATGCGTTTTCTGAAATCCTTTCGCCGGATCCACCGAGCTCACACGCCGCTGTCGACACCCGAAACCGCACAGAGAAGGAACACCGTTGAAACAGAAGGCGCCTGCCGAAAGGATTATCCCACGAAGACACCTGCTTAAGTAGCGGGCGAGCGGTACCGTTATGCAACCAGCGTAATTGAACAAATGTTGAGTTTTTTTGAGCAAGCTCGCCGAGGCGTGGGAGTGAATCACGACTAAGGCTTCTCGAGCACCGCAGCAGACAGCTCACAATCAGACTGATATCGCGACGGACAAGAGCGAGAACAAGAACGGAACAAGGCCGCACCCCAATGTCACCCAGATTCCGAAATTCCTCATGTAATTCATTGGATCCCACGCATTTGCGAATGCGCGGTTCTACGAGATTTTTGAGCGTTTGATCTTTCTCGCTCTTGGTCTAATTTCGAAATTCTAAGAAAAATCCGTTACTTGACCCTAGGGGAGAAATTGTTGAATATCATGCCTCTCTCCTTCGCGGGATGCTCGTGCTCGTGTTCAGGCGACCAAGGACTCGATCACCTGACGTAGGATGCACGACGAGGCATCAAGTCTTCCTCAGAATACTCGAGATTGCGTACCTGTGTCGTATCCGAATTTGTAGTCCCCTTCGAGCTTTTCGCCGATGTTCACGAAGTGAACTGCGGCTGGCGACAACTGCTTCGCCGTAGCGGCGGCATTCTGTGCAGACTGAGCCTGTTGCGGGTGTTGGGCGGTTTGCCCGTACGTGGCCAGTGAGAGAGCAGCAACGCTCAACACCTGAAGATCAAAAACAAATGTATGAAATGATAGTCGTGTTGAACAGCATCGTCCGACATTGGGCTTCGGAGCCATAGCGATTTCGGGATGGACTTTCCGAGGAGTAATCATGAAGTAGGTGATCGAATATTCGTACTACAGCCTCGGAGACAGCTGATGAATTGACCGATGTCAATGAGCTCCCGACGCTCGCCCTTCCGTAGGACGGAGGTATGAGTTCCTAGAGCTCAGACATGATGTGAAGCGCAAGCATCACATTCGTCGAGGAGAAGATTGTAATCACTAAGCATCGGTGGTTGCATGGGATCCTATCAGACCAAGACACCATTGGTTTTCAGGAGCGAGGGAATCCCGCTTCCTGCCGCGGGGAAAAATTAAGGAAAAACTTGAACGTGACGAAGGCGAAAAAAGGTCCGGGTGCGACAATGCTCGGCTCAATGGCGGAAGCCATTGTTTTTAATTCTCAAGTTGTTGCCCACATGCCCCATGAGTGGTTCATGAGATCATCAGGCCGAGGGTGATCTTGAAGTGCAGCAGGGAGGAAGGGCACTGGGAGAATGACCCTTGATCGCGGAGAAATGAGGCGAGTGAATTCGCACGAATTCGTATGGGCTAGATTCTTGTGATACTCCGTTATGCAGTGATCAGTCTTGGGCGCATGATTTGTGAGCGCGAGCTTTTCCCCGAAGGAGGCGGCCAGATACTCTCATCGGACTCTGGACGGGGTTTTCCCCACGCCACTCGGAGTTTCGAATAGATCCTGGAGCGAGGGCTCCCGATGGTGATGTAGTGGAGGAGGAAATATCGATAAGTCCTCGTCCACGAAATCCTGTGCCTCTTGACCACCAGAAGGGGGACGTCGAAATTTTACTTCAAACTTAGCCATCCGATAAGTGGCCGCCGCCGATCACACATGAACAATATCGGAAAGCGTTGCATATTTCCTAATCCGATCCGCTATTTTTGGATTTGTTTTTCCGTTCCGATAATTCGGCTGCGACACGCGGCTCACTTGAAGGGAACGAAAAATATACACGTATCATCACCAGCTCTCGAAAATAATTTGCCAGGTCGAAGAGCGGATGCGAAAGCCAAGAAATCACCAGTCAGCGCGGGAATTTGTTCTTCTGATGCTTCATGTATTTATATAGGTCCGGCAAGAGCTTACTTCTGGAACGACTAACTGAGACTGACTGTTATCCATGACGTCAAGCTCCAGGAGAATGCGTGAATTTGATCCTCAGGCATTCACGATGATTCTGGTGGAACGAGACATTCGCGGGAAAATGATCAAACCATGAAATTCTCCCAAGAAATACAACTAATCGACGAGGGGAACAGCAGCGGTCACAGACTTTGAACAGAAGCAATATCTGGACACATTCGAATTGTGGCAGAATTCGGACAACAGCGCTTGGGACGCAAAGTGACGGCGAGTTTAGAACAAAGGACAACACTGTCAATTAGTTATACGACTGGCCATCAGAAACACTCATACTTCAACGGTCGCCTTGAACAAGAAAGAAAAAGCTGCGTCGCTATTGTTGCCATCTTGGTCGGAAACCGCGACTCCGCTCGAAGGGGGATTTTCGGTTCTATTCCACTTTGAGTGATGTTGGGTTCCAGTCCAAGATTTCGATCTGCATGTTTGCACTATGTGGCCATGTGCCAAGAAACTGCTAAGGAAAAGCTGCCAGAAACTTCGCCGGAGGGCTCGAGCAAGTGACCAGAAAAATGGAAGCGTCCGACAGCGTCGCAATAAGGAGGGGAGTCAAGTTTCATTAGTTATCCCGAACGGCTTTCTGAGTCATCCAGAAAGAGCCCCGGTGTTGAATGTTCCTTTCAGTGACAACTCAATTTATGAATGACGCCAACGAAACAAAGCGTAGCTCGCTCAGCTTTCTGCTGCTTTCGTCGGTGTAGAGTCAACGCGAACAGCTGTTCCACTCGTGAATTATGCAAATTATGCCAGAAGAGCTGAATCGGCCTGTCCACGGCTTGCGGAGAGCAATTCATCGACGCAACTCCAACAGGTATATCATGTGATGGCGGGCGAGACCGAAAACTAAAAAAGTTTGCGACTCCCCGGGACTGACTCTGCCATGCTATGGCAGACCATCGAGCATTAAATGATGTCTCGAGCCTTCAATTTTATCTTTTGCTCCTGATCATTCCGCCGAAAAGGATCCACGAGCCTCCTGAGAGCTTCTAGGCACACTTGAGCTCTCGTAACCAGGGGCCTTATCGTAGATGAGTGCACGACTTGCGAAACGGCATTATCGACATAACAGCACCGAAGTCTACGGTCCTCAGCCCTCAAGCTTTCACGTGCCGCGCCCACTTACAATCGACTCCGATGACACGGGAAGGCTCTCTTGCTTGGAGCAGCTCAGCTCCCCCTGCGAACTTCCGACATCAAGTGCTCTCTTCTCATATTGAGAATGATGAAATCTAGCTCCGGTAGGTTTTTAGGGAAAACGACAAGTATTTAGGAGCTCCCCTAAGACCTAAAAGGACTCGTAAAAGGATCCGTATCGGAGCACCCGACCGGGGATCTCATTGAGAAATCAAGAGGGAAAGGAGCGAGATTCTTCTGATTCGGAAACAACAGCTTGATGCTCTTGTTTTTCTCTCGGACTGTGGTCACTACATCCTGCTTCCTGACTCAGATCTTGGTAACCCGGAGTTTCACTGTGGTCAAAGCTGCATTGCCTCAGACTGCAGCCGACGTCGAGCCGTGGCGCCGGTAATGATCCCACACCGCTTAACTGTCCAGAGAAGGAAACCCCGGACTTGTGCTGATGGTTGTTGATTGTTGTTGTTGCTGCAGAGCTACCAGAAATGAGGCTCGCCGGCTCATTCATGATGGTTGTTTTATTCGCCGATCACCGATTTAGAGCCCGCAGGCGGAATCGCAGTGCGCTTGCCAGTGCGGCCGATCACGATCGGGGCGCGGTCCTGATATTTTTGTGGTCGATTCGTCCTTGAATACCGGTGCTGTCGATCAGTCGGTCAATCTGCGTCAAAATTAAGCCAAACTTCGAGAGGTCGTTTCGTTAAACGTTCGTGGGAACGCGACAACGACAGGCCCCGCACCAGCCGCGGACAATCTGAATCGACGCGAGCCGCAGTAGCAGCAAATTGGCCGCAGGTGGAAATCGTCGTACCTCTCCGCCAAATTTTCAAGAAGGATATCGACTTGAGAGAAAATGCTGCGAGCACTATAGCGTGCGAAGAGAACGGGAAAAACAGTGACGGCATTCATTGCTTCGTAGTGGGTTATCAGAAGTTCCGGATATCAGTTCCATTTTCCTTGATTGAGAAAAGGCAGACTCACAGACCAATGAATTTTGCAACTACAAGATGTCGAATATTAGCGCATTATCATGCAGTCGACGGACTTGTGAAGTTAATAGACCAGAATGCGCCTCATCGGGATAGAGACGACTCGACGTCGATCACTTGAGAACCTGCTGATCAAGCCCAGATTTACAGAATGCTCATGCCAATTACGGGAATCAGCCACTGAGAGGGGGAAGCTCCAGAAGGTCCAGATTTCTCGATTCCCTATTCGAGTACGGTTCAATCGAGGAATAATTTGTGCGGTCGTCGATTCCGACCCTACCAGAGAACAAACGAGCAATGAATCACTACCTAGAGCTCAATGATTATCGACTGCCTATGAGATATTCCTACATAAATCTGGCAAAGATAAGGATGGATGCGAAGTGCTCAGACCTTGGTCTCGAACCTTGAGCAAGGTAGTCGGGGGAGGGGGGGACGGATCGGAGAAAACAGCGAGGAATCAGGAAGAAAGAACAGAGCGCACGGGAAGAACAAACAATTCCTCGTAGACTTGCGAGCACTGGTCGTCCCCTCGCCGTTGACAAAGCAATGGACCGGCAACGGAGAAACCGACAAACAAGTCCGGATCAGACAAATTGCGTACGATTGAAGCGGTGACCGAATATATTGAACGGGAAGAACGGATGAGAAAAGAGTGATTCGGGAAAGTCTTCAGGAGGAGTGTTCGATCCTGACGGCTCATCGGGGGAATTTCTATCCTGCGAAGCATTCTCGCTGCTCACGAAACCTCGCGGGGGCAGAAGAGCTTTCCTTCAAGTGTTGGGTGAAACCCTTATGAATCCGTCTCCATCGTCCAAGGTCTCGATTTTCCTGAGAAATACGGCTCCGGAGGAATCATTCTGTCACGCTGCCTCTCCGAGTGAATGAAGCGAATAGAGTTTGTCTTCGACCTGCTGAGCAGTCAATGGAACCAGCCTCCGAAATTCGCTTGAGGGACTCCTCGAATTATGATTCGCAAGATTCATGGAGGCGCATGAGGAGAGAAATCCTCTTTCTCGTCGGACTTAATCACTCAGAGAAAGTCCAAAGAGCCTTTCCGCCAATATCCACTGAGAAATCAAGCCTGCCCGCCAATCTCCACTGAGAAATCAAGCCTGTCCATACCTCCTGAGACGTAGGCAGAAGCTTGGGTGCCACGCGCCTCTCCCCGACGCGGCCGCATATCGTTGTATCTTTCTTTCTCGCACGGTCCTATCACCTGGACAATCGGTGTGTCAAGCAAAAAGACTGTTCGTGCGAAGTCGTGTACAGAAGACGACGCCTTGAGGAAATTTTCGGCGACTCTATTTTCGCGCCCGACTTCCTTTGGTTGACACGTTTTGCTCTTTTGTCAACAATTTGTCCAGCTCTAGTCGGACTGAATGTCGAACAGTCAACCGGTTTGTCGAAGAGCCCCGCTGAATCCTAATGCGGCAAAGGTTTTTTTTTAGCGGGAAAAGCCCTTGTGCTCCTTTTTCTGCCAACACCACACGAGGATCATTGTTTCTTCAGAGCAAGCTCCTGCGAGAGCCCGCTGAGTCGAGAGGGCTTTATTGAATAGGAAATGTCAATTCCAATCGACAGAACTTGAATGTCTCCAACAGCATTGCGAAATTCCGAGGAGGGGAGGCGAACGAGAATGCGCTCCAGCGTGC